CTACTACTACTACTACTACGCCTGCTACCAGTACCAGTACCAGTACCACTAGTAGCAGTACTAGTAGTTGTGTGACTAGTCGCAGACATGCTCGAAACAGTAGTCTTGAGCTACAGTATGGGTCTTTAAGCTAGGGGTATCGTTTTTGGGTTTCCCCCATCATTTTACAATGCTTCATAGCATGGACCGAAGCAAGGACCTCCTGTAGATTAGTTTATTAGTGTTCGGAGACATTTGGGTTTCCCTCAAATAAGAATATGTATAGAGTGCGTGTGTCGGCCTGTCTGTCTGTCCGTCCGTCCGTGCGTCTGTCTGCCTGCCTATCTGGCTGACTGACAGTCTCTGTCTGTCTCCTGTATGCATGCGTGCATGTGAGCGTGCATGCATGTATACAGTGCGGGGGGCAGGTCCAAGAAGCATGGCCATGCTGTCGCGTGCATGTATCCTGCATGTCGAAGAAGCAAGGGTGCGTACGCGAGAGAGAGACAGAGTGAGAGAGAGAGAGAGACTCACACAAACTGAGAGACACAAGCACAGAGAGAGAGAGGGAGAGCGAGAGGGAGTGCGATTTTTGTGCTCATGGCTCGTGACGGTTGACAGCAGACATGGCTCTCCAGCTGTCCTCAGAACTGAATTTCACCGCCCTGCATCTGAGAGCACGGCCCCCTCGGGCAGTGGCTCCGTCCAATGGGCTTCATCCGCACCCTGTGCAGCTGAATTCTTATCCGAAACGGATCCGTACTGCTTGTGAGTGAGGTGAGATACGCTTGGCGCTCCCCATGCACTTGACAGTAAGCCCAGGAATGAAGCCTTAAGAATTCAATCCAAGATAGCCGAAGCTTCAGCACCGAGCCTCCAAGTGCTGCTCCAGCATGGACCTCTCAAGAGACCTCACGCTCCGGCTCTTGCACCGTACCGTGATTCATGAAAAAGACTAACTCTTGCACCCCACGCCGGTCACTCGGGCATGCCCAGGGCGCCGGCTCCGCAAAAGCACTGGCTACTTGCGAGACCTGAACGAACAGAGCTTAGCTTCGAATTCGAGCCTAATGCCTACTTTGTGGAGGGGAACCGATGGGGCTGTTACATGCTAGTGCAAAGTGGAAGGCAAAATGATCATCATAATCGTGTCGTAGGTAGTAGAAGCAGCGCTAGGAGAAGTGGCGGCGGCGGCTGTGGTGGTGGTGGTGGTGGTGGTGGTGGTGGTCGGCGGCGGCGGTGGTGGTGGTATTAGTACCAGTACTAGCAGCACAAGTGCTAGTACTAGTGAAAATAGCAGCATGCAGTAGTGATTACTAGCACTAGTCACTAGTGGTCGTCGTCGTTGTCGTCATCGTCGTAGTACAGCCGTAGCAGTAGCAACGCACTGGCACCGCTTATCATTCTTGCTGCTGCTTAATCAGAGTGTTGTTTTCTATTGTACCGCCTGCGGCACACATATGGATCCCTACAATCAGCCGTCGCGAAACTCTTGCGATGTCCGGCAGTGTGATGCTACGTGACATTGCACGTCATTCCACTTTTTACAACAGTCGCACTATATACCTCAGTGCCATCAGACGAAACAGTCGGGTCAAGCCTGGTCGTCGGCGAAAACGTCATTTCGCTGCTCAACCTTCCACTGTGAAAACATGTTGCCCGGATGTTAGGGGTTTTTTCAAACTGCAACACCCAGCCGGCTGCCCTTCCAGTGTATGTCCCCGCTGCCGTGCACAGCTGCCGCCTTCGAGAGAAGGCTTTCTGCAGCCCATCTCTCGTCGAGCTGCTTGGGGTTGTACCTAAGTGGAAGTCCCGGGCAATTGATGAGAAGGGATACACCACATTACAAAGCTATCCTGCTATAAGATCCCCAAAAAACCCATGTTCCACTTATTACGGCCCCCAGATCTTCTGAACCCCAAACCTGAAACTCTAAGCTCTAAGCCCTAAGCCTCCCTTCCCATCTCGATTTCATCGCCGCGCCGCTGCTTCAAAAGCGAGCAGACCAGCTTCGCGAACTCATCGACTCGGGGCCCTTTGTCGGTAGGCAT